AGAAACTTGATGATCGCATAAAAGCATGTGCCTGTAATGTGACTGATAAGACACTTTTAAGTTACAAAATGAGGCCGCGATGCAGGCAGAATGAACCAAAGTGGCCGTGTCCCCAAGAGTCGTGGGCTGTGGCTAGCATGTCATGTGGGCACCCTAATCCAGGCATCCAATCTCATCGACTAACTTTGAGGGGTTATGTTTAGCCTTAAACTGACTGGAATCTTTTGGGGCTAAATTAACTGTCCCCGATCAGCTTATGTGGGGTGCGGGCTAACAGCCACCTTCCTTCCTGCCATGATGGAGACAGAATTACAGTACAGTATTGCTTCAGTTTTCACATCCTCTGTGGCCACCGTGGCTGTGAAAAGGAGGCAGAAAAGGTGTTTGTGTGGGGGGGGGGGGGTGTAAACACAGTTTTTGTTTTAATTTAAAATTGTCTCTGTTGGGGAAAAAAAGAGAAAATTACTGCCCCCAGCCTCCTTCGGGTCAGCTGGGAGGGGCCCATATTGGCTAATGTACAACTGCCCTAGTTCTTCCAAATTATGTGCTGCTGGTTCATGGAGGTAAGTCGACTGACTGAGGGAGAGGATGCTATGATGTACCGACAGAGCAATAACATAGTTAAAGTGCATTTCTATTTTGATTGTTTTGTTCTCATGTCAGTGTTTACCACCAAGAGTTTTTATTCACTGGGGAAATTTACAGATGTTGTGAATAGAGTCAAATGTACTCAGCTTTGAGAGGGTGGCTTTAAATTATAATAAGAGTTGAGCTAGAAGAAAAATGTTTATAATTCAAAGATGAATAAAGGAAAACATAATAATCTATCTTTAATATCTTTTTTTTTAAATCAGTATCAGCTTTAACTTCTCTTTGAATAAGAGATCACTTTTTAAAAAACCAGAAGATTCCTCATGTGTTTGTTTAAAAAACAATAATTAGCAGGTCAAACTGAAGGACAGTAAAAAATGGAGACACATTTGCCCCTCTCAGTTCTTTGCTCTTTTTTTTTAAGGGTTCCCATTCAACAATTGCTTAAAGAGGAAGAAAGGATGAATGGATGGATGGCTATTTAAACCATCCTAAAAATGACAGTTGGAAGGTTTTTTTTCATAATGTCATCTCCTTTCCCAACCTAGCGCTAGAGTTTCTGATGGAGGGAGCCAGAAAATTGGTTAATGCTTTCAGCAAGTAGAACCCCCTGGGCAACCTTGACTGGACTCAGCAGCTAAGCAAGATTAGGTCTGGTTAGTACTTGGATGGGAGACCTTTAGGAAATACCAGGTGTATAAACTAGAATGGGAAGTTGAGAAAACATCCCAGAAGACAGTGAAAAACCACTTTTGTAATGCTACCAGGAAAATTACATGGACATGTCCATGACTTGAAGAAGACTTTATCTCATGTAACATTATTAAACACTAAATACTTAGTATTATGGTGGGAAACTAGCCCAATAAAAACCAACAACAGTAGTTTTATTTTCCAAAGTTAGAATCACTGGTCTCTTACATCCAGATGAGGCAAGAGCAAGAGTTTATATGGAAAATTGATGAAAGAAAATTTGAGTTGCATATACACTAATCAGAGGCCCCCAATAAAGGTAATTGCTTTGCAACTGATAAGAAACACGATAATTCTAAAGGCGACAGACAGCAGGGATGTATACTTTGGAATGCAGTGTAACGATCTGCCGCTTTTAACTCCCAATGCCAGTAACTCTCCTTGCAACCGATAAGGGTTCAAAGAAAAGTTCATTTATTGAGAAATAGGGTACAGGTCCAAAGCATTGCTAAGTCTGACCCCGCTGCGCCAAAACACTATTTTTACCCTCTTTAGTTCCCATACTCCCCCCTTGCCTTCCAGACATTCTCAACATTCGCCCATTGGTACGACCTTGAGCGTTCCTGCACTCTGATAACAGCCCATCTGCTTCTACTCTTGCCCCTTCTTCTAATGGCAGAACTGAGGCAAGCAAGCTGGCTAATTGATTGCGAGGATTCTGACATGCAAGGATATACAAGAGTTGTCAAGGCTCTTCTTATTCTAACAAGCCAATCATGTACTTTACAGCAGCAGGAGGAAGAAATGAGGAAGCACGGCTATATATGTATCTTTGAATTTACTGTCTTTGTTCTAGGCATAAGTTCTATAGGCATTTAATAACGAATTGGCATTGTAACAAGAATTCCATACTTAAAAAGGAACCATCAAAGAAATACAGCTGAAAGCATATATGCAATACCATATAAAAATTATTACAAAATAGTGTAATTAATGCAGGCAAAATTTTTACTCCAAATCACCACAATATTCCTGATCTGATACAGTGAACATGAATTATGCAATGAACTATATAGGTGGAGTAAATTAATTAAAGTAAATTAACATAAAGGTATATATTTTATTCCTTGAGATTACGGTCTGGTATAATTTTTTATGAACGATGATAGTCTTTTTTAAAGAAAAGTACTAGAAGTTGTCAGTAGAGGAGCATTCTCCCCAAAATCTCAGCAGCTGGCTAATAAAGAAAAAAAATGTTTTGAAAGATGTAAAAGTGATTCCTTTGTGCATGCACACACACCTTGTTTCACGTAACTAATTTACTTTAAATCATGCTCAGGAGGGAAGTGAAAGAAAAGATGGCAGGTGTTTGGTTCTCCCCAGTGGGTTGCACAGGAAGGAAATTGGCCATCCAGACTGAGAAGCAGATCATCCAGACAATGCTGTTTGTAATCTAGCCAGACTTTCCTGAACCAGGGACCTCCAAATATGTGGACTTTAATTCCCAGAATTCCCTGGTTATTCTGAGATTTAAAGTTCATTCATTTGGAGAAGGCTGAGATAGTCTTTTACATTAACATTGGCATTCTTATCAGGCTTAAACCAGCTCCAATAAAAGAGAATGCCTGTAGCTCAGGGTTGAACTGCGGAGCTCTTGGTATTTTCTGAGCTTGGTTGTTTGCTTGCAGACATTTCCTTACCCAACTAGGTAAAATCATCAGAGAACAACAAGGTCCATAGTTAAACAAGTTTTAACATGGCCATTAACATTTTTCCTGACACATATTCCCAAAAACTGAGTACCAGAACTTAGGAAATAGTAAAGGAGAAAGTATCACTGAGAATATGCAGGAAGCATTTTGCATGCCATGGTGTACTCAAGGTACATTTTGCACCCAAGTGAAAAAGTGTACCTTGCAGGCTAAAACTAGAAATTCTTTTTAGAAACTGAGCAGTGCTCATGCTGGTCATCTGTAAATTATGACTATTTGGAAGAATGAATTCTTGGATGTGCATGAATCAAGGGAAGTATATATACAAATGTTTGGTTGATTGAATTATTGAAAAAAAGTATGATAGATACATGGAAATGAAAATATTTTAGCATACTCTTTTATAAACATTAAAGTCCAAATGTTACATACAAAAAACAACAGATCTCCACCATTTTAACATTCTTGCTTATTCTTTGTTAATCTAAACAAACATACCTTATTCTTTCTTCATCTGCTGCTTTCCAGTTGTGCTGGGCTGCAATTCCCAGAATTCCTAGCCAGCTGCATCATGAGGGCTGTTAGGAACGTTTCCTAACACAAAGGCTTGAAAGATGCTTCCTGATGGAGGGTCCTCGTGCACCCAAGCAAATATCAAATGTTATTCTTAATTGATTTTCTCTCAGAAGTGGTGTTAAAAATGGTGGTAAATAGTGGAAAGATTATACATAGAGAAGGAAGTTGTCTGGACACCCAGGTAGGGTAATTGCCCAATAAAAGCTTTGCTTGGAAGCACCCTAACCCTTCCACAAAGTCATACATAGTAATTTTTCCATTACTTGAACACTGTACCAGAAAGAAAAAACAAACAGTCCCCCCCACCATGTTGTTCTACCCACCTCAATGGTATTTGGGTTCATTCCTAATGTCACAAGGCAACCCCCACCCCCACCCTCCCCAAAAGTTAAAATTGAGAGGATTCTTTCAGGAAAAAAATGATGCTACAATGCCTAAGGCCCATAAGGAAAGCTTTTTGGATCCTGCATTATTCGTAATGTCCTGATGTGAAGAAATGTTCTAATATCTCTGAATTTCAGTGAAATCCCTATGGCTGTCATCTGTTTGGTATTCAAATGAAATGAGAGCTGATATCTCTCAGCAACAATAAACTTGCATGTGGCAATAGGTCAATTTCCAACAAACTGATGTGAGAGCTTCTAGAGAGGATCTGCCAGTGCACTGTAATGGACAAAGACCAGTAGACAAGATTCACATCCCCATTAGATTATGAAACTCAGTGGTTGCC